TTGGTTCTTCCCTCCTAAGCTTAACCTTTGCACAGCCTTTATCATACTTCACCTCCTTGATCTATCTAGCAAGATCACTTTCAATTTAGCTTGCATCACTTATCTTGCATCACTCTGTTTAACTCACTGAGGTTGAGCATCCACAAAAGCTGTTCTCAACTTCACTCTGGACGTTCACTAGACTAGAGCAAAGACAAATCCTCACACCTCATCTGAGAGCTACTCTTAGTTTTAACATGTGTCATTAACAACTATTTAAGGGTATGGTTTCTTAATTTTCCAGACATCAGGCTATAGTTGCTTTTCTGTTTTCTGTTTCAGGCATGAGGCATCATCACAGGAGGTAGAAAGTTACACCAGACCTACTGCTTACTGCTGTGACAGCTACTCTACCAAGGGAGAAAATTAGATTAGCCTGATAAATTGATTATTAATAACCAATTCCAAAATCTCTCTCAAAGAGGGAGAGCTATACATTTCCCATACCTTTCTTTACCTTCTCCAGACATCTGAAACCTCACCAATCCTCCACAAGTGCTCAAAAGATAAAAGCTTGCATTTTGCTGCTCTAAGTAGCATAGGATTAATTTAAACAGACCATCAGCACTTGTGTAACTCTTCTGCCAGGTTTAGATTTTCATAAAATAAAATGGTTTCAACTTTAAAGGAGCTGCTATAAAAACACTATCCAGAAATGTAGGGAAATTAAGTTTATCTTGTGCAGTGAGTTGTTTTTTCTCACCTGCAAACATGACTGAATTGGTTTAATGAACACTATGTAATTAAAAGGAACAAAGAAAAAAATAAAACAACACAACACGGTACATAAACAGCTCACATGCAATGCCTAATTTCTAGAGGAGAACTATTAACTATTTTACAGTTCTTGCCTCTGCTGAGCCAACTGCTAGGCCAGCTGGTGGCTCTCCCCCTCCTGCTACTGCTCTTTAGTCACAGTCAGGGACTGACAACTCTTGCTGGGAAACAGGGCTGGATTCAAATGGCTGCTTTACTTTGGTGAAAGCACCTCCCAGCTCACTGACTGCAGCCCTCACTGGTGTCCCCCATAGCCCTACAGCCCCTCTGACTGTCTCCACCCCGGGCTTCCTTAGCTCTGGGTAACACCTGCAATTTTACCAACTGCTATCCCAGCTCTCAGCAAGGCTGCACACAGCATGGACAGCTAACACAAGCTTAAACAGCTTCTTACACCTCACACAAACTTCTCCAACTTTCTTCTATGGCTTTAGGCTCCAACTTTTGCTTTCTGGTGCTAGAAATTATTGTCAACAACTAGCAAAACACAACCCTAGGCACACCTCTGCCCCGTCTAAAATGCCACAGTGATTTACAGATGCACATTCCCACTTGATTGTCTGCCTCTTTATAAAAGAAATACCTCTCAATCACAACGAAAGAACATACACAAACCAAATGTTCTCCTGGTCTGCCCATTTGGTCCTTTCATTTATCTTCCTTTATGATGACATCAACTGAGCACTTCACCTCTGTGGGACTTCCCTTTTCTGCTGAGTATCTCAGGAAGGCATGGCTTTCATTTTAGGCCTTCCTTGCTATGTGTTGTGTAATTCGTTTGAGTGTTCTTCAGCCTGCTCTTTCCTTTTTCTGTCTGTGTACCTGGCACCTTGCTGTTAATAGTAATTGCTGTTTACATTCATTGTATTAAGCACCAGGTCATAATTAAATCTTTTTATGGAAGGAGGGTAGGAGAAAGGATGATGTATTGAAACCAAAGGGCCTTTGAGGTTTTAACCTCCTCCTTACTTGCTCACCTTCTCTGTTAAGTAACGAGTTGCATTTTCTGTCATCAGGTCTGATGTTTTTTGCAAAGCCTGTAATGTTCCCTGCTAGTTACAATGCATTTTGTAGCCTTGTCATTCTTCCTACAATCTGCATTCTGTCACAGGACAGTGATTTTCCAGATGACAAGACTGAAAGAATGTCAGAAAAGGATTTAACATACTGGCTGAAGCCACCATCCCGCTGGAGTTTGTGAGCACCAAGACAACTCCACAGCATAAACCCAGGTGCGGAACGTGGGAATGACTTGGAGAGCTGCAGCAGAAGTGCATTCCTGACCTGAACTAAAATGCTTAACATAGACATCCCTGGTAGCAAAAAGACTGGGGTTCTACAGGGAGTTGAGTGTCTGTCCAGAGATGAACAGAATGATACAGCAGAGAACCCACCTTAATACCTGAAATTAAATGTTCACCCCTTAAGAGCAAGCAGCAACTGAGCAGCATGCAAGAGAAGCAAGAAGCGAGGCAGATGAAAAGGCTGGGAAATAAGGTCTGAGAACAACAACCCTAAATGCTGCCCTCTTCCTAAACAGCTACTATGTCTGGCTGGAATTTATACTTATTGTTTACCTTCCTGCATAAGAATTTATTTGTAGTTTTCTGGTTAAGTTGCAAAGAACAATTTTCAGGCTCAGTGTCAAAAACAAAAGGCTAAGTGATTCCTGTTCCTACAGTTTGGTTGGATGGAGCTTCTCAGAGAGACAGGGAAGTGTCTGGCATGGACTGGAAGTATCTTTAACAAAAATCTAGACATGACTACATGACTACATTCCAGCCTCACTGAAAGAGATCCTATGTAACTCAACATCAATATATATATATATATATTCTTATTACACTGAATTAAAATATATTTACTTTTTTTTCCACTTTCTTCTTCTTTTTTTTTTTTCCTTTTTTTCTTTTTCTTTTTTTCTGAGCCCCGCATTCAAAATTTCTGTTGTGGAATGGTAGTGAAAATTATTCATCAAGAATATATCTTTACAGTCATCCTACTACTTAAAGATACATCAAATCTTATTTTCTCCTGCATTAAATAGAGTCACAAGACCTATTCAGATTTTAAGAGATGATCCAGTGTAGCACTCCTTGCATCCAGCCTATCAAAGACACACCAGTGTGTTCAGAGCTGCTGAGTTCAGTGCCATAGGAATCATTTATTAACCACACTGTTATAAATGATTTTCTGTAACTGCCCTTGGTGTGATACTGCATGCTTAGGAATGATGTCTCAATCTAATTAAGCATGTGAATTTAGATGAGAAAGGTGACTGCAGGTTGTGCACTTCTTCTCCTGACAAATTGTTGGACCTGTAGGATCTCATCTGTAATTGCGTGCTTGTTTTCTTGCTCCTCATTACTGTTTTGAGTAAGAACACTTTTAAATTCACTGTTTTTTTTTGTTTTTTTGTTTTTTTTTGTTTTTTTTCCTCTGCTTAGTTATAGAATCACAGAATCACAGAATGGTTTTGGTTGGAAGGGACCCTAAAGATTCCAACCCCCCTGCCATGGGCAGGGACACCTTCCACCAGACCAGGTTGCCCAAAGCCCCATCCAGCCTTGCCTTGAACACCTCCAGGAATGGGGCATCCACAACTTCTCTGGACAACCTGTGCCAGTGCCTCACCACCCTCCTAATAAAGAATTTCTTCCTAATATCTAATCTAAATTTCCCCTCTTGTAGTTTAAAATTGTTACTCCTTGTCTTATCACTTCCTGACAGAGTCCCTCCCCAGCTTTCCTGTAGGCCCCCTTTAGGTACTGGAAGGTTGCTCTAAGGTCTCCCTCGAGCCTTCCCTTCTCCAGGCTGAACAATCCCAACTCCCTCACCTTGTCTTCACAGTAGAGGTGCTCCATCCAGCTCCTTGATCATCCTCATGGCCCTTCTCTGGACTTGTTCTAGTACGTTACCTAGTGTATTCTGTAAGGCCTCTCAGAGCTTCCCTTGTTGGTCCAGCAAACATTAAAAAAAATCTTTTTTTTTTTAATCAAACAACAACAAAAAAACACCAACAATTATGGAACAATGCAAGCCCTTTCATTTTGGCACATTAATCATTTTTATTTAAATTCAGGTATTTAGGCAGTTTATCAAGCAAAATTCTCACTGAAGTGTAGTGTTTGTATATACAAGAAAATTGACTTCTACAGCCATAATCAAATAATTAAACAGATTTAGTTAGGTCAGTAAAATTCCCTATTTCTACTGCAGAATAATTACCCTGGAATAAAGCCACTTCAATTTAGAATAGCCTGTCCACATGGGGAGCTATATTGAAACAGCTGTAGTAAAATAATTATTTGACTACAGCTACACCACACACTTTTTCCCTGAAAATAAGCCATCAACATAAAAATCTTGCCTCTTTCACAGAAGCTCAGCCGTGTTGGCTAAATACTCTTCCATACTCAAAGTGCTTTGCCAACAGAATGAATGCACAATGTGGAGAATGTGAGATTTTACTTCACAATCCTACAGTAAGTGGTGAGGTACAGTGATGCACTTGCAGCTTTCTACCACTTAAAAGGTTCTGAGATGCACTGGGATGTGGAATGGAAGATGTAAACAGGGAATGTGGCCTTTTGTAATGCACCATGAATTTTATAAAAGCAAAGTTGATTGCAGAGGTAACTCCAGATGAAAAGAGCAGTGGACAGAGATGGCTACTGCATCATCCTCTCCTGCTGCTGCCATGTAGATACATCTCCTACCTTCACTTCTCTGCTGCAGCCTGAGGGCCTCACATTCAGTGAGCCTCCGCCTTGACCTCCGAAAGCATGAGCTCACTCACATCTCAGCTTATACCAGTGCAGGTGCAGCAAAAACGTGGCTGGTCCTCTCAACTTCTTTGTACTGCTCTCACTTATGAAGTGAGTTGAAACGTGAACTGATCTGTACTGCTTTTTGAACTGTTTGTTTCATTAACATTCATTAAAATGTTTTAGCATTAATGACCTAAAATGCAGGATTCTGCTGGTCAGTTGCATGCTATTTGTATCCAATATCCAGTATTTTCAGGCTAAGGAATTCTTCCTTCAGCCAGGGTTATTCAGTCAATGGTATTTCAATTCAAAGGCTCTTTAAGACTCACCAGGATCTCAATACCATAAAAAAATGTACAGTTCTTGCACAAAACAATCAAACTAAAAAGATAATAAAGCTGGGTTGCAACTCACCTCGATCTGTGTCATACAGGAAGACAAAGCGATTCCATTCATAGTGATCCAGCAAGCTCAAGAGGGCTCCTCGCAGAGATGGCCGCAGCTGCAGCACAAACTGACTCTCGCCTTCGGTGGGAAAACTCGGTGTGATGAGGGAGATGTGCAAGGCGCTGCAGAATGAGGTCAAGGTATGTACTGATCTCTTATCATATAGTCCAAAAATGGCAAAAACTCCTCTAGAATACTGGGAGCAAACTGGAAGGAAAAAGCAAAAAAAAAAGAGTTCACCTAGTGACAAAATCTGTAAATACATACTTACACATTTCAACATCCCCAACTCTATAAATTGAGTATTTCCATTTCTGCCTGTATAGTTAACTTCAGTATTTACATGTGTTTAATTCTGGAAACCCATAAATAGCTAAATAATAGTTTGCCACTTCTGAATCTTATTCACAGAACATTACATTACCTATCTCTCTCTATATATATTTAATTCTGTAGTGAAATACAAACTATATGACATGCATTTTTGCATGCCAGTGAAAAGTCAATGTATGCTGTTTTAGCCACAGCTCTGTACATTAATAGGGTTTGATCATTTCCATTATTTCAAGCAGAAAATTGTTCACATTTCAAAATAAGCAATTGACCTCACGAGTAAAATCTGGACATTTTGAATTCTGGCAATATGGATCTTTCATTCCCATTTAAGCACAGAGCCCTTGTGCTGCATTAAGACTACTACAGACACTGAGTAACAACCTATTTCATGAATAATCTCCTTGACTTTTAAGAGAACAGCTGAAGGAAAATGTAGTAAGTCAATGTGACCAGGCTATTGCCCCAAACCCTTTATTTCTACTCTGTGTCAACCTCAAAACTAGAAAACAAATGACCTGAATATATATTCTGAGTTTTGATTTGCTCTTGGGCTCATTTAAGATGTAGAGAAAGACTTCTATTGATTTCAGCAGATTGGATAAGGGCTTTACTTATCTATGCACATAAAAACAGACATGACGGCATTTTTCTGAGTAAATACTGCTTTTTTAGCAACTCATAAATGGTCCGGTGAACAGCACCCCTTTTATTTGAAAGCACAAAACAACTTACTAGAAACTCTGTGTGATAATTAACAACAGTACCTATCCCATAATCGCAGAAAATGAAGAAAGGAAAAGTAATTTCAGTGGTCATTATATACTTTTCCTAAGCATGTATTTCCTATGCACTCCTATTCCATATCCCTCCCTCCTGCCAACTTGTTCTTACATATACACAGAACCAGGGAAAACCTAAGTCATGCCCTTTTAACTAGATGACATCTAAAAAGAATACAGTTGGGCCAGATGATCTTGGAGGTCTTTACCAACTTTAATGATTCTATGATTCTATAAGAGGCCTCCTCTCTTTTAGTCTGGAGGTCACAGTTACCCTGCGAGATCATCACAGTCAGGGAACCGTGTACACACTTAGCAAATGGGAGTATTCAAAAACAGTTCATCTTTAATTGTTTCATGTTACATCATAAAAAGCAAACATAGAACTTGTACATTTTTCTCCTTAGACTTGGGCAATTCATCCAGTTCTGATGCCAGAACTGGAACAAGTCACTGGAGGGCAGTTCTGGGATTTTATGTGCTGTCCCAATATTTCAGCTGTCACCCTAAAGATTTTCACAGACAGATAAGTAATTTTAAAGGTTAAAAAGCTTTCTTCCTTCTCCTAAGTTCCCCTTCAATATGTTGATACATAGCTCTTAAAACCTTCTTTGTGTTTGCTTTGCTGGACCACACTGCACACATTCTCCCAGACCCATCAAATGACTGTCTCTCCCTAATCATTCCCTAAAGTGCTGTTCTGTGTTGTCTCAGTTTCATCTTGTCTGTCTTGAACTCAGTTGACCAACCTGCTTAGAATTTCAATTGAAGGCTTTCTGCTTCTTTCTACATTACTTACCCATGTCTACTGTAAAATACTTTTGCTGACATATCCTAAGATCACTTTTTTTTTTTAATTTTATTTTTTTCTAAATTTACATCTCAGTGATGGCTGACAATCATCTCAGAATCAAAATTCTGCTCTGTCTTCCTCCTGGGTCTTTTCCAAAAGATGGCTTTCTGCTTATAGTATAACATTTTTATTAGTCACCAATGTACAACTTTCCAGTATGTCACATCTATTACTGTACTACTCAAAATTATTTACTTCCACAGTTATTTTGTTAGTCTGCTCTGAATTTCTAGAGATCTCTGTATTTACCTCACCAGCAAATTCTGTCAGGGTACTATGACTTTTTAACCCCATGTCTGTTATAAAGTCAGTTTCACAGTACCTTTCCACCACCAAGCTTCTTCATCCTATTACCTCCTCTTCTAACCACATTTGTTGCAAACTTCCCCTTAGCTGTTTTAATGCCTGCCTCTCTAAACTCTTCTTTTTGCCTCTATTTTCATAAATCACTTCCCTTAGGAGCATGCTTCTTTTAGTTCATTCTCTTGGCAAAAGGAAGATATTGATTAATCCCATACTTTCTATTGTAGTAATTTCTGATTGCATTTTATCCCAGTTTTTGTCTATAGCTATACTTTAAAGTTTTCTTTCTATCAGAATTTGTTCCATTGCTTCACAGACTATCGATGTTAGCTGCTAGGTCCATGGCTGATGGATTCTATGTCCACTTTTAAAAATAAATATTTTATGTGAAGTGGTTTCCCTATTCCCATTAGCTATCACGATTATTCTTTTAAGGTCAGCATCCTTCCTGACTGAAAATCAGTATCTATTAGCTTTAAGTCCATATCCAGATTTTCATGATTTTCCAATCCATTATCAATCCGTAACAGACTCAATTTTCCTATTTCCTCCCTTTGAATTTATAGATAAAAATGACATCCTGTAGTTGTTTTAACGCCCTTTGCAAGTCCCAGTTTTCATTGACAGCACTAACATAAGTTTCTGATTTCTTCAATAAATGTCCTCTATATATCCTGATTTCTTATTGTATACCTTTTTAAAGTATTTGTTTCTTCTGTCTTTCTTGTATAATCATTCATTCAATTCTGGTGTCACATCATGCATGTTACTTTCCCCTGCAAAAGGATTTTTCAGTGTTTTACAACTCTTTCTGTGAGGAAATCTGGTATCTGTGGGGTTGCAGGGCTTTGATCTCATTGCAATTACATAAAAATTGTGGGATAGCTTGCATGACTGGAATTATGTCATGGGTGGCTACATGTCTTTTTAGGAAAGACAGGCCAGAAAGTTGAGGTAGTAAAGTTGCTCTTTATGTGAAAGAGCATCTGGAATGTATGGAGCTCTGCCTAGGGGTGGATGATGAGAGAGTGGAGAGCTTATGAGTAAGGATGAAAGGGCAGGCTAACATAGGTGACACCGCTGTGGATGTTTACTACAGGCCACCTGATCAGGAAGAGGAAGTTGCTGAGACCTTCTATGTAAGTAGCTTCACAGTCACACACCCTGGTTCTCATGGTGGTCTTCAACCACCCTGACAACTGCTAGAAAGACAACACAGCTAGACACAGTCTAGGAGGTTCCTGCAGAGCATTGACTATAACTTTTTAACAAAGGTGGTAGATGAGGCAATGAGGACAGGTGTACTGCTGGACATAGCACCAGCAAGCAAAGAAGAACTAGTTGGAGACATGTGGAGGATGTGGAGACATTCAGAGAGACCTGGACAGGCTGAAGAGTTGGGTGAAGTTCATTAAGTTCAACAAAGGCAAGTGCAGGGTCCTTCAGCAAGGGAGGAATAGCCCCAGTACAGGCACCAGTACAGGCTGGGGGCTGACCTGCTAGAAAGCAGCTCTGTGGAGAAGGACCTGGGAATCCTGGTGGACAGCAGGCTAACCACTAGCCAGCCATGGGTCTCTGTGGCCAAGAAGGCCAACGGGATCCTGGGGTGCAATAGGAAGAGTGTTGCCAGCAGGTCAAGGGAGGTGATCCTCCCCCTCTGCTCTGCCCTGATGAGACCACATCTGGGGCATTGGCTTCTGTGCAAGAGAGACATGGATGTACTGAACAGAGCCCAGTGGAGGGCTGCTAAGATGATTAGAGAACGGCAACATCTCTCTTATGAGGAAAGGCTGAGAGAGCTGGGCCTGTTTAGCCTGGAAAAAAGACAGAAGGGATCTTAATGTATAACAATATCTTAAGGGAGGATGTGAAGAGGCTGATGCCAGACGTTTTTTCAGTGGTGCCCAATGCCAGGACGAGCAGCAATGGGTACAAACTGAAACACAGGAAGTTCCATCTGAGTATGAGGGGGCACTTTTTACTGTGGTGATAACAGAGCTCTGGGACAGGTTACCCAGAGAGTTTGTGGAGTCACCTTCTCTGGAGAGATTCAAAACCTCCCCTGGATGCCATCTTGTGCAACGTGCTGTAGATGATCCTGCTTGGCAGGGGGGTTGGCCCAGATGACCTCCAGAGGTCTGGTTCATCCTCAAGTATTCTGTCATTCTGTGAAATGTCAGTCTTCCTATATTTGCAAGCACAGTTCAGTTGACTTTACCAACTGAAACAGTTGAATCTACACCTTGTGCACATAAGTGGTAGTTAATTAATACATTTTCATTTTAGAGAAAGCCTTTCATAAGCCCTGCATTTCCTTACTTCTTTCCAGGTTTATGTAAGCAAAATGTACTTTTCTGAACACACAGTCCATACAGCAGGATTTTACATGATGAAAATTTCAAGAAATCAATATCAAGCTTTGAAATGAGATAAAGCTCAAATTAAAAACAAACTCATGAGCAAGCAAGCAAACAAATCAACAACAGAAAAAAAAAAAAAGCCAACATAGAAATTGCATTAAATAACATAATATGAACCATACATTTTTTTTTCACTAAAAATAACAGAAGAATAATTCTTTGAATTTTTCAAGCAAACCATCCTTGTCACTGCCTACATCCAAATGCAATAATACACTGACTATCAATAAAATCCTGAAATAACAGCTATATAGCTATGCTGCTATAATTGAGATCAAAACTGGGAATTTACTGAATTGTGTCCTTCTTTGCTTGATAAGAAAAAAATACTAAGATGAAGGTTATTAGAATTTTTCTTACTCAGTACAATACTCACAGAGAAGAAAAATGCCTATGACACTATGGAGATTAGGCTTAAACATATGCAGAGATGCTGCACAGCTCCTGAATCAATTTTACAGTAATCAGCAGCGACCACAAAAACCAGTAATGCCATGAGGATTTGCATTCTGACTC